GGCAGTCTTCAAGACCCTGGCAGTCTACAAGACCCCTGGCAGTCTTCAAGACCCCTGGCACTCTTCAAGACCCCTGGCAGTCTACAAGACCCCTGGCAGTCTTCAAGACCCCTGGCAGTCTTCAAGACCCCTGGCAGTCTTCAAGACCCCTGGCAGTCTTCAAGGCCCCTGGCAGTTTTCAAGACCCATGGCAGATTTCAAGACCCCTGGCAGTCTTCAAGACCCCTGGCAGTCTTCAAGACCCCCAGAAGTCTTCAAGACCCCTGGCAGTCTTCAAGACCCCTGGCAGTCTTCAAGGCCCCTGGCAGTCTTCAAGACCCCTGGCAATCTTCAAGGCCCCTGGAAGTCTTCAAGACCCCTGGCAGTCTTCAAGACCCCCAGAAGTCTTCAAGACCCCTGACAGTCTTCAAGACCCCTGGAAGTCTTCAAGGCCCCTGCAGTCTTCAAGACCCCTGGCAGTCTTCAAGACCCCTGGCAGTCTACAAGACCCCTGGCAGTCTTCAAGACCCCTGGCAGTCTTCAAGGCCCCTGGCAGTTTTCAAGACCCCTGGCAGTCTTCAAGACCCCTGGCAGTCTTTAAGACCCCCAAAGTCTTCAAGACCCCCAGAAGTCTTAAAGACCCCTGGCAGTCTTCAAGACCCCTGGCAGTCTTCAAGGCCCCTGGCAGTCTTCAAGACCCCTGGAAGTCTTCAAGACCCCTGGCAGTCGTCAAGACCCCTGGCAGTCTTCAAGACCCCTGGCAGTCTTCAAGGCCCCGTGAAGTCTTCAAGGCCCCTGGAAGTCTTCAAGACTCCTGGCAGTCTTCAAGACCCCTGGCAGTCTTCAAGGCCCCTGCAAGACTTCAAGACCCCTGGCAGTCTTCAAGACCCCCAGAAGTCTTCAAGACCCCTGCTGTCTTCAAGACCCTTGGCAGTCTTCAAGACCCCCAGAAGTCTTCAAGACCCCTGCTGTCTTCAAGGCCCCTGCTGTCTTCAAGACCCCTGGCAGTCTTCAAGACCCCTGGCAGTCTTCAAGACCTCTGTTGGTCAAGACCCTGTCAGTGTTCAAGACCCCTGTCAGTCTTCAAGACCCCTGGCAGTCTTCAAGACCCCTGGCAGTCTTCAAAACCCCTGGCAGTCTTCAAGACCCCTGGCAGTCTTCAAGACCTCTGGTAGTATTCAAGACCCCTGGAAGTCTTCAAGACCCCTGGCAGTCTTCAAGACCCTGTCAGTCTTCAAGACCCCTGGCAGTCTTCAAGATCCCTGGCAGCCTTCAAGACCCCAGGCAGTCTTCAAGACCTCTGGCAGTCTTCAAGACCCTTGGCAGTCTTCAAGGCCCCTGGCAGTCTTCAAGAGCCCTGGAAGTCTTCAAGACCCCTGGCAGTCTTCAAGACCCCTGGAAGTCTTCAAGACCCCTGGCAGTCTTCAAGACCCTGTCAGTCTTCAAGACCACTGGCAGTCTTCAAGACCCCTGGCAGTCTTCAAGACTCCTGGTAGTCTTCAAGACCTCTGGCAGTCTACAAGTCCCCTGGCAGTCTTCAAGACCCCTGACAGTCTTCAAGACCCCTGGAAGTCTTCAAGACTCCTGGCAATCTTCAAGATCCCTGGCAGTCTTCAAGACCAATGGCAGTCTACAAGACTCCTGGCAGTCTTCAAGATCCCTGGCAGTCTTCAAGACCCCTGGCTGTGTTCAAGACCCCTGGCAGTCTTCAAGTCCCTTGGAAATCTTCAAGACCCCTGGCAGTCTTCAAGACCCCCAGAAGTCTTCAAGACCCCTGGCAGTCTTCAAGACTCCTGGCAGTCTTCAAGGCCCCTGGCAGTTTTCAAGGCCCCTGGAAGTCTTCAAGACCCCTGGCAGTCTTCAAGACCCCCAGAAGTCTTCAAGACCCCTGGCAGTCTTCAAGGCCCCTGGCAGTTTTCAAGACCCCTGGCAGTCTTCAAGACCCCTGACAGTCTTCAAGACCCCTGGCAGTCTTCGAGGCCCCTGGCAGTCTTCAAGACCCCTGGCAGTCTTCAAGGCCCCTGGAAGTCTTCAAGACCCCTGGCAGTCTTCAAGACCCCCAGAAGTCTTCAAGACCCCTGGCAGTCTTCAAGACCTCTGGCAGTCTTCAAGGCCCCTGGCAGTCTTCAAGACTCTGGCAGTCTACAAGACCCCTGGCAGTCTTCAAGACCCCTGGCAGTCTTCAAGACCCCTGGCAGTCTACAAGACCCCTGGCAGTCTTCAAGACCCCTGGCAGTCTTCAAGACCCCTGGCAGTCTTCTAGACCCCTGGCAGTCTTCAAGGCCCCTGGCAGTTTTCAAGACCCATGGCAGTCTTCAAGACCCCTGGCAGTCTGCAAGACCCCTGGCAGTCTTCAAGACCCCCAGAAGTCTTCAAGACCCCCAGAAGTCTTCAAGACCCCTGGCAGTCTTCAAGACCCCCAGAAGTCTTCAAGACCCCTGGCAGTCTTCAAGGCCCCTGGCAGTCTTCAAGACCCCTGGCAGTCTACAAGACCCCTGTCAGTCTTCAAGACCCCTGGCAGTCTACAAGACCCCTGGCAGTCTTCAAGACCCCTGGCACTCTTCAAGGCCCCTGGCAGTTTTCAAGACCCCTGGCAGTCTTGAAGGCCCCTGGCAGTCTTCAAGACCCCTGGCAGTCTTCAAGGCCCCTGGAAGTCTTCAAGACCCCTGGCAGTCTTCAAGACCCCTGGCAGTCTTCAAGACCCCTGGCAGTCTTCAAGGCCCCTTGAAGTCTTCAAGGCCCCTGGAAGTCTTCAATACCCCTGGCAGTCTTCAAGACCCCCAGAAGTCTTCAAGACCCCTGCTGTCTTCAAGACCCTTGGCAGTCTTCAAGACCCCCAGAAGTCTTCAAGACCCCTGCTGTCTTCAAGACCCCTGCTGTCTTCAAAACCCCTGGCAGTCTTCAAGACCCCTGGCAGTCTTCAAAACCCCTGGCAGTCTTCAAGACCCCTGGCAGTCATCAAGACCTTTGACTGTTTTAAAAATATTAACACCAACAACAATGTTAACACCAACAACCATGTTAACAATACCAACAAATTAACACCAACAAAAATCCTAACATTACGACAATGTTAACATTACAACAGTGCTAATACCTACAACAATGTTAACACCAACAACAATGTTAGCAATAAGATTACAGTATTAACAACAAGAACATCAACACCAACATTATTAACACCAACAACAATGTTAACACCAACAATAATCTTAACATCAACAACAATGTTCACATTACAACAATGTTAGCACCAACAACAATGTTAGCAACAACAGTGCTAACAATAACAGCGATATTAACACCAACAACAGTGTTAACACCAACACCAGTATTAAGAACAGCAACAATGTTAACACCAACAGCAGTGTTAACACCAGCAACAATGTTAACAAGAATGTTAATACCAACAATGATGTTAATACCAACAACGATGTTAACACCAACAACAACGTTAATACCAGCAACGAAGTTAACGCCAGCAACAACGTTAATACCAGCAACGATGTTAACGCCAGCAACAAGGCTAACAGCAACAACAACATTAACACCAACAACAATGTTAACATTACCTCAATGTTAACACCAACAACAATGTCAAGAACAGTATTAACAACAATAATGTTAAAAACTACAGTATTAACAGCAACAACAATGTTAATACCAACAACAATATTATCACAAACAACAATGTTAACACTAACAAAGATGGTAACACCAACAACGATATTACCAATAATAACAAATTAACACCAACAACAGTCTTAACATTATTGTAATGTTAAGACTGTTATGTTAACATTACAATAATGTTAACATAACAATGTTAACATTACAAAAATGTTAATACCAACAAAATTTTAGCAGCAACAATATTAACAATAACAACATGTTAACACCAACAACAATATTAGCACCAACAATACTGTTAACAGCAACAAAGTTAACACCAACAAGAAAGTTAACAACAATGTTAAAAAAGCAATGTTAACACCAGCAGCGAAGTTAATACCAACAGCAATGTTAACACCAACAGCGATGTTAACAATAACAACACATTAACACCAAAAACAGTCTTAACATAAAAACAAAATTAATATTACAATCATGTTATCATTACAACAATGTTAATATCAACAATAATGTTAACACTAACAACAATGTTAACACCAACAACAATGTTCACATTACAGCAATGTTAACACCAACATTAGCCATAACACCAATAATGATGTTAACACTACAACGAGGTTAACACTGACAACAGCGTTAACACCAACAACAATGGTCACATTTCAACAATAATAAAACTAATAACAATGTTAATACTAACAACAATTTTAACACCAACAACAATGTTAGCATCAACAATATTAACAACAACAACAATAAAACTCCAACAACAGTGTTAATACCAACACAGCAGTTAACAAGAATATTAACTCTCACAACAATGTTAACAGTAACAATGTTAACATCAACAACGATGTTAGCAGCAACAACATTGTTAACAGAAACAGCAATGTTAACATTACAACAATGTTAACATTATCAAAAATGTGAACATGAACAACAATGTTAACAACAGTATTAACAACAATAATGTTAACAACAGTATTAACAGCTACAGCAATGCTAACACCAACAACAGTCCTAACATTACAAGAATATTTACATTACAAAAATGCTAATACCAAGAACAATGTTAACACCAGCAACACTATTAACACTAACAACATTGTTAACACCAACAGCAATGTTAACAACAACAATGTAAGCACCAATAACAGCCTTAACTCTAATAATAATGTTAACATTACAACAAGGTTAACACTAACAACAGTGTTAACACCAACAACAACAATGTTAACACTTAAAATGTTAAGACACTGTTAATGTTATCATATACAGTAGTGCTTTTTAACATTAACCATGATGTTAAGATAATGTTACCATATACATTAAAATTAACAATAATCTTATCATATTCAGTAACATTATTGACAATAACAACAACTCACCGAGGTTGTAGACGCTTCAGCTGGTTGGTGGAAGTGGTGGTTGTGTCAGCATAAAAGTAGTGGTGGTACAATACCAGGTGTGTACAGTGGTGGTGGTTGAGGGCAGCCAGCAGGTCAGGTAGGTCAGGTAGGTCACCAGGGTCTCGCGTGATTGTAATCTCTACCTTGCAGGAGCTGAGGTGTGATAAGAGAGCAGCGTAGCTTCTCACATGTTCATCAATTACATCAATTGTTGCTTCAGTATTGAAGCAGTGAGCTATTTTTTTGACAATTACTGGAGACATGTTAGTGTTGTCAAGGAGGTCGAGCCACTGGTGGTTGCATCTTACACCAGACTCGTGTAGGAGATGAACCACTTCCCGTGCAGGTGCCTCGGGTACCTGGTCTAGTACCAGGTGCAGCAGCCCAGCCACATGTATCAGAACATTCTGGTACTTGTTTATGTCTACCACACCTGACCTGATGCTCTCTTTTAACACTTCCCTGATACTGACAGTTGTAGCTGACCTGATGCTCTCTTTTAACACTCCCATGATATTGACAGGTGCGCTACGTATAGCTGAACTGATGAAATATTCTAAATGCATTGTCCTGAAATTGATAGGTGTAGAAGGTGTAGCTGACCTGATGCTCTCTTCTAACACTTCCCTGGTACAGATAGGTGTGGCACGTGTAGCTGACCTGATGATCTCTTCTAACATTCCACTGATACTGACAGGCGTGCAGTGTGTAAGTGATGCTGGTGTAGATGATGCTGGTGTAGGTGATGCTGGTGTAGATGGTGCTGATGTAGGTGGTGCTGATGTAGGTGATGTTGGTGTAGGTGATGTTGGTGTAGGTGGTGTTGATGTAGCTGGTGCTGGTGTAGGTAATAATGGTGTACGTAGTGCTGGTGTAGGTGATGCTGGTGTAGGTGATGCTTGTGTAGGTGATGCTGGTGTAGATGGTGCTGATGTAGGTGTGCTGATGTAGGTGATGTTTGTGTAGGTAGTGTTGATGTAGCTGGTGCTGGTGTAGGTGGTGCTGGTGTAGGTGATACTGGTGTACGTAGTGCTGGTGTAGGTGATGCTGGTGTAAGCGGTGCTGGTGCAGGTGGTGCTGATGTAGGTGATGCTGGTATAGGTAATGCTGGTGTAGGTGATGTTGGTGTAGGTGGTGCTGGTGTAGGTGATGCTGGTGTAGGTGGTGCTGGTGTAGGTGATGCTGGTGTAGGTGAGGTTGATATTGGTGAGGTTGGTGAAGATGTGACTGGTGATGGTGAAGGTTGAGTTTGTGATGGTTGCATAATTGTCACAGGTGGTGTTTGTGTAGGTGATAAAGTTGTCACAGGCAGTCTAGAAGACACAGGTGGTGTTGGTAATGGTGACAGAGTTATCCAGGATGGTTGGGAAGACACAGGTGGTGTTGATGATGGTGGTATAGTTATCACAGTTGGTTGGGACGACACAAGTGGTGTTGATGATAGTGGTACAGTTATCACAGGTGGTTGGGAAGACACAGGTGGTGCTGGGTGGTGGGTGTACAAGACTGGGAGTGGTGAACACTCCAGCTGGTGCTTGAGAGTCATCACAATATGCAGAGCACTGAAGTAGTCTTGGATTCCCTTGTGTGGTGCAGAGTAGCGCTCCTTGATGCCTTGCCAAGTCCATATTGGCTTCAAACTCAAGAAAGCAGACAGCATCTCATGGTAAGGTATATCATGTTTGTTACAAGCAGATATTAGTTCATCAACAGTCTCTTCTTCAAGACTCAACTGGTCACGTGAGAGACTCTCTAGTGATGTCGCGTATATTATCTTCAATATTTCTTGAACACCGTTCTGTACACTACTTTCATTCATTATCTTGGTCTTTGAACAGTTTGTTAATCTCTCTAATAACTTACTTTGACACATATGATGTATTTTATGGTAGAGTTGTGTTTGTGTTATGGTTCTTATGTTTAACTCATCAGGTTCCTGGTCCAAGATGTAAACAAGAAATGTTAAATTCATTGGTAGACGTAAGTGTTCGTGAAGACCTGTAACCTCCATCACCTTCCTCACTAGTTTAAAAGTGTTTCTGTTACTGTTGGTCAGCTTAATTATCTCCTGGTGAGTCTGACGCACAAATTCTGCCATATGCTCTTGCTTTATGCCTCGTAGATTAGCATTTGTCACATCATAATCTTCAGGAATCGTCAAGCTGAAGATTTCCACTGTTTCAGGTCTTGAGGTGCAGATAAAAGTTGTGTTAATAGAGTTTTGGAATTCCAGTAAAAGACTTTTAACTAATGTTCTGGAGTTGTTATTGAGTTCATCCAGACCGTCAACTATTATTATTACCTTACAAAGCTTGATTATTTTAGGCACAATATTTCTGAATTTTGCTGAAACATCTGGTAATAGTCGGTGTAGAAGATGGTGGTAGGAGTTGATGGTCGGGTCCCTACACTGTACCCACAGTAAGAGATCATAATTATCTAAGTCCTTGATGTTACCTTGACCACCTTGTATAAATTGCTTAGTTATTAGCTTCACTAGAGTTGTCTTGCCACTTCCTGCCACACCTTCAAGCAGTAGTATTTGTGGTCGTGGGGAGGAACCTTGTTGTTGTGTACCAGAGCTCACACATGATGCCACAGATGTTGTCTGCACAAGTGAGAGAAGGTCTCTATAATCTATATGTTCATTATTACCTCTTCGTCTTACTTGTTTAATTTCAATATCAACAAAAATTTTGTCTACTTCAAGTTGAAAGTTGTCACTGATACAAGGTACTGGGTTAACACAAGTTATTTGCTGCAAGATTTCCTTCAGTTTACCACAACTGTCTTTAATGATAATCTGTTTTATATCATCACTACAATACTTCATTATATCTTCCTCACTGAGAATTTCATTCATGATGTAGTCCAGGTCATCATTCATCTGCTGGATCTCCTTGTTAACTTCAGTCTGGTCTCTCCCATACCTCTCTCCAGATGTCTTAAGACAACCAGTTAACAACTCACGAAACTTTCTCATATTTTCATGATAATCTTCGTCAGTAACTGCAAGTGGACCGTGAGCAGCATTGTTCCTCATGTTGTTTATGGCAGTGATGTAGGACTCCATTTGTGCACTGTCAGTGATCCATACTGGATCACTGAGAGGAGCAACATTCTCACAAGCAAGTTTGATGCTCCTACACAGTAGTGGAACATCAAACTCTCTTCCATTTGCACTTCTATTTATCAATTTCTTTTGTGTTTTGTCAAACCTTCGATCTTTACTTTTGAGTTTTAAGTAGTTGGCAGATGATGTTTGTTTTAAGTTGCTTAAGTAATGATCAAGTGTTGTAGTAGCAGGTTTATCTGGTGTTCCCCAGCAGAATGTGTGATGCAACACTCGTCTACCACACTCACTCAAAGCTTTCAGCATTCTGAAGCCATTATTTTCCTCCTTAGTTATTACAGCCATGACACAGAAGAAGCAAGATGATGTTAATAATGTTAATGATGATATTGTTGTTGCTTCTCAGATATTGTTGTTGGCAGTGCTGATAATGTTTTTCAGGTATTGTTGCTGACAGACCTGTTGTTGTTTTTCAGATATTGTTGCTGACAGTGTTGTTGTTGCTTCTCAGATTTTGTTGCTGCTGATGTAGCTCCTGATACATCAACACAAGACCAGGAATGCTGAAAAAAAATAAAAGACTTGATTTGAAATATGGGTAATATTACAAGTGTCAGACTGTAACATGTATAATATTACAAGTGTCAAACTGTAACATGTATAATATTACAAGTGACAGACTGTAACATGTATAATAATACAAGTGTCAAAATGTAACATGTATAATATTACAAGTGTCAAACTGTAACAAGTATAATATTACAAGTGTCAGACTGTAACATGTAAAATATTACAAGTGTCAAACTGTAACATGTGTAACATTACACGTACTTGTTACAGTCTGACACCTATAATATTATATATGTTACAATATGACAGTTGTAATATTATACATGTTACAGTCCGTTACTTTAATATTATACATGTTACAGTCCATTACTTGTAATATTATACATGTTACAGTGTGACACTTGTAATATTATACATGTTACAGTCAGACACTTGTAATATTATACATGTTACAGTCTGACACTTGTAATATTATACATGTTACAGTCTGACACTTGTAATATTATACATGTTACAGTCAGACACTTGTAATATTATACATGTTACAGTCTGACACTTGTAATATTATACATGTTACAGTCAGACACTTGTAATATTATACATGTACAGTCTGACACTTGTAATATTATACATGTTACAGTCTGACACTTGTAATATTATACATGTTACAGTCTGACACTTGTAATATTATACATGTTACAGTCTGACACTTGTAATATTATACATGTTACAGTCTGACACTTGTAATATTATACATGTTACAGTCTGTCACTTGTAATATTATACATATTGCAGTGTCAGACTGTAACATATATAATATTTCCAGTGAAAGTGAATTATCTGGCAGTGAAAACCAGGAGAAAAGTCAGTCTGAATAAATGACGAAGCATTTATATGAATTAATGAATAAGACTCACGTACAACATCTGGGTATCAATATTGATGAATGAGACACATTTACAACCCTGGGTATCAATATCTAGGTACTAGTACAGTGACTACTATACTGGTCTTCTGAGGTACTAGCACAGTAACTACTGTGAGGGAAAAGTTCAATAGATAGGAGTAGCGATATAGTAACAATAGTTTCATTGCCGGCTACTAGTTAAGGTAGGGTAAGTCAAGCTCCCGTTTTTCTCGCCTTTTTTCCCCCTCCCTGAAAGTGATAGTTTGACTGCCGGCTGCTTGTTAAGGTAGGGTCAGTCTAGCTCCTGCTATCCCTTCCCCTCCCTCTTCCCCCCCCCCCCGAAAGGTGACGTGTGGGGCTCTGGTCAAACAGTAAATCACTCGACTCACAGCTCCCAACACTACTGTAAGTACATGCCTGCCTTGTATTCTAGTGGATTTATTGGTTAAAAGCTTCACTTTTGACCAATAATAAACTTTGTCCTTTCAGTCTTGCTCTAAGTTGACTGTTGTAATAATCACCACGTCTTTTGAGTATTGTACATGCCATGGAGAGTGATTATTTAAGCAGTGGGTAACCTGTCTATCTTTTCAGCTTGGATGACAGTGAGGGTCACCTGTCAATCAACGAGAAGAACACGAGACGGACTAACGTCCTGGAGACGTCCCATTTTGGATTTAATTACCTGTGCACCTGTATGAAATTGCAGGACGTAACCCCACATCATTGCAGCGGTAAAGAACTTGTTTTCCTGTCATCGGGATACTACTCAAGGCTCTATCTACTGTGAAGAACTAGCCAGTGGGTCGTAACCAACACCTGCGAACCCCCCCCCCATCATCAGCAATGGCTACGATTTCAATAACACAGTGTCACCAACACAAGACACCCCTATACATATTAGAGTTGAATTCAGTTATCATTTATATTTTTAATTTTTAATTTTCTTTAATGTAGGATTAATATTTCATATTTAAGTGTTTTATATTTTATATTTTCTATATAATAAAGTGTTTATGTTTGTCTGTTATTATTTCTTTTTCTATTCACTAATTTTCCTGAGGAGGAGCCAGCCTTGGTAATACTGTCTGAAGTTGTTACAGGACTAAGCCTTCACACTACTATACTGGTCTTCTGAGGTACTAGCACAGTGACTACTATACTGGTCTTCTGAGGTACTAGCACAGTGACTACTATACTGGCCTTCTGAGGTACTAGCACAGTGACTACTATACTGGTCTTCTGAGGTACTAGCACAGTGACTACTATACTGGTCTTCTGAGGTACTAGCACAGTGACTACTATACTGGCCTTCTGAGGTACTAGCACAGTGACTACTATACTGGCCTTCTGAGGTACTAGCACAGTGACTACTATACTGGTCTTCTGAGGTACTAGCACAGTGACTACTATACTGGTCTTCTGAGGTACTAGCACAGTGACTACTAATACTGGCCTTCTGAGGTACTAGCACAGTGACTACTATACTGGCCTTCTGAGGTACTAGCACAGTGACTACTATACTGGCCTTCTGAGGTACTAGCACAGTGACTACTATACTGGCCTTGAGGTACTAGCACAGTGACTACTATACTGGTCTTCTGAGGTACTAGCACAGTGATTACTATACTGATCTTGTGAGGTACTAGCACAGTGACTACTATACTGGTCTTCTGAGGTACTAGCACAGTGACTACTATACTGGTCTTCTGAGGTACTAGCACAGTAACTACTATACTGGTCTTCTGAGGTACTAGCACAGTGACTACTATACTGGACTTCTGAGGTACTAGCACATTGACTACTATACTGGTCTTCTGAGGTACTAGCACAGTGAGTACTATACTGGTCTTCTGAGGTACTAGCACAGTGACTACTATACTACTGCTCTTCTGAGGTACTAGCACAGTGACTTCTTCTTCTTCTTCTTCTTCTTATGACCAGAGCTTTGGTAAGATGGGTAAGGAAGAAGGATGGGTAAGGATAGAAATATTAGAAAAGGGTGGGAGGGGGGAGAGAGGTAGGATATAAAAGGTAAGTGGCCCAACCACTTTGGTGTAATTTAAAAAGTGTATGTGAAATGATAAGATATTCTTGAAGAGGTATAATACTAACCCATCAGAGTCACATAGATATAACAGATATATAAGTACATGACTCTGAATTGGTAGTAATTATACAAGTTGCAATTGCTTTTTTTTTTTGCGATTGCACAATGGATATTTAAGCGACAGTGAAAGCAATGATTTCCTGGCTAGTTTATAGAATTACTTGAAAATGGCTTCTTACAAGTGGTGTTCTGCCATAGTAAATACAGCATAATTTTTATATTAGATTGTTATATAAGATGTCTCCCTAATTGGGGGCGATGATCTTCTCAGTAAACATAGAAGGGTTCTGGTGTTACCCAATCTTCATCAGGGAGGTTGCTCAATATCATTGGTCGATGGTAATCATCTTTATGGATAAAACGACGGACCCTCTGTGAGAGAGTCATTCTTTGAGTCCTGTGAGGAGTATTGATGATATAATCCGTGGTATTTACAACTTGTATAGGATGTTCTCTATCTGGCATGTATAGTTCTTGCATTGTATAGAGTTGTTTCTTTTTCAGGGTGTCAAGGCGTACATTTAAACAGGTGTACCTATGATGGAGATACCCCCTTTATCTTCGATTGTTGATGCAAAACATCCTATCGTGCTAACAAGGACTTTGTCAGGATTAGTCGTAATTCTCCATTTCTTTTCCCAATTAGATGTTCGACGAAGTTCGATATTCATTTTTTCTATGACTCTCATACTTGTATTTTCCTGTTACCGGAGTTGATGAGACGACATGAATAACATCATCTGCAAACTGCGACACAATTGTATCATTAAACTCTGGTTGAGGAAGGTCATTCACATAAATGTTGAACAGAATTGGACTAAGACAAGAACCTTGTGGGACACCAGCTGTTGCTATAAAAGGCTCTGTCGACCTGCCATGAAAGGTGGGAATAGTTTTTCTTTGAGTTAAGAAATTATATATTAATCTGAGAAAAGTCCAGTTATGGTCTGGTAGGTCAATGAGTTTGTATATAAGACCATCATGCCATAAGCTATCAAAAGCTTTATGAACATCTCTGGTGGCAATTAGGGCAAGATTGCCCTGATGTTTTAGACTTGCTACAGTATCGAAAATAACATTTATTGCATGATGGGTACCTCTATGTGTTCTAAAGCCAAATTGCTTTTCAGTAAAAAGGTGATTAAACTCCATATAGTAGTTCAATCTGTTGGAAATGATCTTCTCAAGAACTTTTCCAGTGACTTCAAGTAAAGATATAGGTCTATAGTTCCCAGGGTGGTGGATGTCTTTATTGGGCTTACCAAGAAAGATCATCCTAGCAGTCTTAAAAACAACTGGAAAATGTCCCGAGGCCAAGATGGCATTAAAGATATTAACCAAAGACTGTTTACAATTTCTGGGTAGGAACTTTATTTCATTGTTATTCCAGAGAGACCAGGGGCTCTATTTCGCATTCTTCCAATAACCTGACTCATCTCGAGTAATGTAATAGGTCTAGTAAGTGGGTGTGCATCTTCAAGAGTTGAAGTATCGATGGAAGGTAGTGGTTGTAGATCATCCAAGTTTTCATCTCTCCATTCATTTACCAACTGATAGTGATTATTGTTAAATTGACGACTGTTATTGTGGGCTAGAATTTTCTCCCATACATCACCCATCAAATTAGCCTGGTCCTGTGGATCGTCAAGTTTAATCTCAACATCTTCATCAGTGAAGGTATGAACTAGGTAGCTAGGAGCCTTGTGCTTTGCCCCTAAAAGTTGTCGGATCTTACTCCAAAATTTTGCTGGCTTACGTTTATACTGATTAGCTTGAAGAACTAGCAATTTCCATAAGTCCCGTTTGTGATGACTAATCATGTTAATTAATTCTTGCCTCAATCTGTGCAATGTAGCTACTGGTGGTTGTCGCGTTTGAAGATGCCTTCGACATCTTGGGAACTATAGACTATAGGTCTATAGTTCCCAGGGTGGTGGATGTCTTTATTGGGCTTACCAAGAAAGATCATCCTAGCA